ATATATTCTTAAATCATAATGCTTTATTTCTTTCATAAATTACAGTTTCATATTTTTAATTGTATAATTTCTGCATGCCATCTTACTAGACTTAAATTGATGATCTAAAATCCGGAAAAACTCCTAATCCGGAATCGCAGAAGTCCCGACGAGTTCAGATTATGGACTTTGTACTGTATAATTAAAGCTCAAAAGACAAAGAAAATTTTTCAGTTTTGGCAGTGGCTTGCTGCTGCCTTCAGCTGTGTTAAAGAAACCCATTTTAAAACTCCTAAAATTTTGATCAGAACATCTCCTGCATTAAGCCAATAATAATACTGCAACAAAGAATTTTACTGTAACTTATTATTATGCACTTACTGCCATTTTGTCATGAAAAGAATGGCCCTTTAACAGGTCATCTTAAATAGGCCATTAGATGCCATACTTCTGTTCATTGGGTTGATGTTCTTCCCACAGTGTTGCTAGGATTAAGAACGGCTTTTAATGAGGACCTGGGTTCATCCAGTGCTGAAATGATCTATGGTGTCAATTTATGTTTACCTGGAAATTTTATAAACCCTCCAAACAAATCAATCAGTGTCGGGCCTCAATGCGTTTCTCAGAAAATTGAGTGAAGCCACGGCTGCATTAGTTCCTACACCCACAAGTGTACATTCTTCAAGACCTGTGTTTATTCCCAAAGAGCTCGCTAAATCATCGCATTTGTTTTTAAAGTGTGATGCATCAAAAAAGTCTTTGGAGCCTACATATACGGGCCCACATCTGGTTCTAGGTCACACATCCAAGACCTAATTCAGAAGTCAAACAACAAAAATCATGAATCACAATGAGCCATGAATTAGTATTTGTTCGCCGTGCTATTGTGTCTTAATCTAAGACCTATCGTATACGTATCAGTAACAAAGAGACAGTGGTGAGCATATATCGTCTTAGACCGGCCTTTATTTTTGTACCAAAAACTGTCATGACCAATATTTCAATCACACCCCCTTCAAAGCCACCGACACCTTCACCCCATGTGTCTACACTTCCAGTTGCCACTGCAACATCATCTGTGCCTGGATTACAGAAGCAAGATGTTCCTCGGCATACATGTTCTGGACGTAAATTTTGATTCAACCATCAGTACCTTCAATTTCGTTGACACTGGAGGGGGAGTACTGTGGCAATACTAAAGGAATTTGTTTTTGTTATTCACCAACTGTGAGCCCGAATTTGTAACTGTAACGGAGATTTTCAGGACGTGCTAAACTCACTTCATACTCTGTCGCATTTTGTCCTTCGATGCAAATATCTTTAGTGCTAATGTAATAAGCAGTTTTTGTAATTAAATGTTTATTATTTAAAATCAACCATCTCTATGTGTGTTAATCCACCATGCAGTGAAAGGCCTCCACGGATATTAATTGTCGCATTCCGCACACCGACACTTACAAACTCAAAAAGTACAGTATGCACAATAATGCAAACTTTCAATGAGTCTTGCATGAAGCTGTAGCTAGAAGGCATACGATATGAAAATATCAGGCTTGCAGTGGGTGATCAAACATAATGCGCAACTGCATAATGTGATTCCGTTTGGAAAAAGATATGGATGAGAAAGAGCAGCATAAAAAGATTAAAGTAGATTTGGTGAAGCCAAACTTGAGTTGAATTTTAGAAAAAATGTAGATGTGGAAGCCCTTGCAGTTTTGATTGAACTCCCTTTTCATTCACTTATAATATATTCAATATGGGTTTCTGTTGAAGCTCAGCAGGGTTCTCCAAATTAAAGACTTTTTTAGCTCAAATTACTAAGCTCCCATTCCAGAAGTACTAAGCTCCCATTCCAGAAGAATGTTAACAGAACTGTTTTAGAACTGAATACAGGCATTTTATCAGCACCTTTATATATATATATTTATTCAAAACCTTACTTTCTCTTTTTTAGCAATAATCTTGCACATTAAAATCCTTTTTCTAATCATAACAGTATAAATGGAATATCCATTTCCTTTATTTTAAACAAAAAAACACTTGTGAAAATTATCTTTAAAATATTTTCTTTTAAACATAATATAAAAAGAATTATAAACATAATATTTACAAAATGGGTTAAATAATGTTATGCCATAACACTTCAGAAGATAACTATTTAATTGTCTTTTCTTGGCTATCCACCAACGGTGGCATTATCCAAATTCAAGCCTTAGGGAGGAGAAGAGCAAAGTCCCTTCGGCAAGCTCAAAATGAGGGGAGAAACGTTAATATGGTTTTTGATTTGTTACAACAGTAAAGTTATCAGAAGTGTACTTTTACCACTGGTGTTTTCTAAATTCCACCGATTCCCTGTTACTCACCTATCTTTTATTGACTACTTCTATCCATTACCATGTTGTTTACAAAGCTGTTACCATGCTGTTTTGCCAACTTGTAGATAGTAGCCTTGATCAGAAGTTACTTCGATTTTTATCAAGAGTATAAGTTTCAAACTGTTTTCCTGCCAAATCCAAGAGATATAATTTTGTTTTGTAATATTTTAATTTTGATCCTGACAAGTAGTGAGGCAAAATAAACTCATCTATTTGTTCAGTGTGTTTTTACTATTTAATTCAACAATCAGTGATAACTTATACCATAATTTTTAGGTAATATCTGAGTAATGAGAATTAAACTTGAAGTAGTTAAAATTAGCCTCTAATTATTACCCAGTCAGCATTAGCTCCCTTAACCAATTAACTGCTTTCCTGGACACCATCCGGGTACCGTGAAAAGGGACTTTTTTAATCACTCAGACATTGCATTTTCCTGCACCAATCCACTGATTTTCCTGGCTTTTTCACATTTTTTACTTTGCAGTGTTTCTAATAGATGTCACTAGTAGTCCAGAGGAGATTGGATTGTAAAATCAGTTCAAGGATAGGTTTTTACCACTTTTCATTAGGCGAAGAAATTCAAAGAATTTGTTTGCACGAGTCAATGTAATAGGCTTTGCGAATAGTATTTCTTTCCAATTCCGTCATGAAATAAAAGAACGATGGGTGACAGTAAATGGCTCATAACAGAATATAATTCTAATATTGAATAAATAGTGAATCTGAATTTTCTATAAATGATTCCGGTAGTCCTGAAAGTTCTTTATTGGAACTCTATATTGATGATGAGAAATGTTCAAATGAAATGGATACTAGTAATTCTCCACCACTGCCGCAAATTCCTTTCTTTTACATTTATATCCTGTAAAGTGTTCTTTCCAGTTTCGCAGTCTCAACAGAAAAAAAAAAGTAAAAATGCCTTAATTTTGTTATAATTAAAAATTATCATGCAAATGAATGCAAATGACTGCTGATTTGAATTCATATAATCGGTTAGAATGCGGAATAGTTTATAAAAAATATGCTTATTTTTGGCCGCAACATGGCAGGAAAATGAAACAGTTAAGTGGTTAAATGAAAAATCAAAATCTATTATTAACCATCTATTAATTTAGAAAATCAGAATATGTATTTACTAATTCACTGTCCGTAAACTCAATGCTCAACAATTTTCAAAATTCTAAAATATTTTTGAACAAAACTATCAGCTGTTAATTCATATCAGTACTATGTCATTACATTAATACTTAAATGTTTAATTTGCAGGCAGTTTTTAATTTACTACTAACTGCCAGCAAAGTGTTACAATAAATTCACTTTCTCTTGACAGTAGACACGCAAAAAGCTTTAAGATTTGAGCTTGATTTGAATATGTCAGCTGAAGACATACAAATTGCTGTTACCCTGTATATTTAAAATACAGGAACATAACTACTTTTACTATTTTAAATACTTTAGTCTTCACTACTTTAAAATACTAACCTAAATAAGAAATACTTACCTTTCATTCAATAAGTTTTGCTGTTTATGTTAAATAATGTCAAGGAATATTTTTAAATTTTTAAATACGTACCAACTTTTGCATAATTTTCCTCTCCTTCAACCTCAAAATTTTGGTTGTTGATTTTGTCTTTGTTACAATAAAATATTTAGTTTTAAATTTGTAAGCATTATTTATATTCATTTTAAAATTATTAGTCATTTAAAAGTCTTTAAAAAAAGAGAAAATACGGAGAAATTGGGTGAAAATAAACCTTCATACCTTGTAAAATTTTCAGTCCTCTTTGATTAACCACAACCCCTCCTTTCCAAAAAAAGACATTAACTACTTTCGGCCAAATTAATAAGCCAAAAGCAAGTCAATTTGAAAACTATGCTAAGAATCAATGCAATTAAAAAAGCAAGAATCATCCTTAAATAATAAATAATGCTTATTGTTTCTGAGGAAACCCTTACATATTTTTTTCACTGTTGTCCATGAACACAACACAGCCTGTTTTTGAAAAAAAAAACTGCAAAATCTATTAATTTGGCACTGTTCATGTTTTTGTTCTCGCCATATATACAGCAATCTATTCTCCCTTAAATAGCAATAATAATTTTACAATTTATTGGAGCACATATTTTGATCTGTAAAATTCAATCATTTACAAATTTCATGAAATGCGAATTTTTCACTCTCTGCTGTAGGTCAAAATATCATATTTTAAAAGAAATACAGAGCTTCCTTCTTCATCAGTCGGCAAACTCAATAGATTCATTAAAAAAATGCATGCAGTGCTACAAAAACAAACACTAATGAATGTTGCATTTGATGGTGGAAATTATCATTTGTCTGCAGCATGTGCACACCTACATTGCACGCAAATGCATTTTGCCAACATCAAGGGTTGCTTATTCTGATAATATAGCACTTCGCCTCACGAACACTTTGGAGGGCAGGCTCACGGATAATCAAAAAGTACCAAATTTTCTCTCTTCAGCTTTCATTTAGAAAATTATTTAAATTACTTATTTCTAAGAACATGAAAAACTTTAAAATATTAACAGAATGAAAACACAAATACTAACAAAATGAAAAATAAATGTAATAATATAGCACACATTAAAACAGACACAAAAATTTATTACAATGATACTCACTTGAGCAGCTAAAAGCAATATATTTGATGCTGGTGTAACAAATGTAGGTGCAGATACAACATTTGCTGAAGATGCTACAAATGTGCTTGGATTTAACAATGGTTCCTTGTAAGGTACTGTTCCAGATAAAACGGGATTAACTGCAGGAATACAGGACAATGGAATAACATCTGGCAATTTTATACTGTTACCAAATGGTAACCCTGACTGGGCAGAACCTGGTAACACAGATTCATTATTTTCAGTGATAAATTCATAACTACCCTCAATGGTTGAATCTGATTTTGACAAGTTCTCAGCGACTGGTTCAGAGAAGTTTTTAACAGACAATTTTGACTCATTTTCAGCTGATGATTCAGATAAACTTTTATTGGCTGATAGCCAGCCCAGCCATTCTTGATTAAGTGCGCTTTCTTGAGCAGCACTGAGATCCTCTTCCTCACATTCTAAATCAAGATCTATATCGCACAGACTTTTGCCCACATTTGAAGAAACATTATGAATCACTTTATCACTATTGAATATGTCTGCACTGTATGCACACTCTGACGTATTACTTACTGTACTTAACACATTGGGCGATTTTAGTGTGCATCCACTGACAGTTATCCCACTTACTACAGTATTATTTCTTGAGGTAGCGGCTGATCTTTGTTCAGATACTTCTGAATTCACTGAAATAATGTTCGGCGCAGACTGTATCAGATCTGTCCCTTGTGGTGATGGTGTATTCTAAAAAGTATATAAATATGCATCAAAAGATAAAATTGTTTCACAAAAATATAGTAAAGTTAAATTAAATTTTAATAATTCTCTTGCACCATTGCTGCAAGGAATGAAATTTGAATTTAACAAATACTATTCTCTATTCGTAAAAAGCTAATATAAATTTTTAATTTAATTAAGAAATTTTAATTGCAAAAATATAAAATAAATTATTGCTTCGAACTAAATACGTTCCTTTATACTTCAATATCAATGCTTACTAAAATCAATTATTATTAAAACAAGAAGAAAATGTTTATAGACTTATTCTAAATATAGTATTATACCCTATGTGGCCAGTGGTATGGACTCAGTCCTGAGGCATATATTAATATGATGTTGGTCCCCCCCCTTTTGCATCGATAACAGCTTGTACATGTCTGGGGAGATTTTCTATCAGTTTTTGCTTGAACATCAGATTCCAATGAAAACGGCTAATCTTTGGAATATGGTAACAGGTAGTTTGCGATTTTGGTGCGATGATAAAGGTTAGCTAATTTAGCAGTGTACATGGTCAAAAGAGTGAGCATGCCATTTTGTGCAATTCTGGGATGTTAAGTAAATAGGTCAACGTTGCATGGATGATACCGTGTATGTGCAATTCTTAAAAACGCGGCAAGCAGCGAGCTATTCTGCACTTTCTCCTAATTTCGCACCTAATCTTCGTCATTATTAAGCACATTTGTTCCATAAAAGTTCTAGCATAAGAGTAATTCGGCTAGAAGATTGTTGGAAAGAAATGTTGAGTAAAAAAAAAAAAAAAAAACATGCCTTTACTTCGTGAAAACAAAATGGCATTCAAACAAAAACTAGCTGGTTGCTGTTAGCAGGGTTGGTCGCCAAATTTTCGCCAAGTTACCATAATCCAAAGATTAACCATGAAAACTTTTAAAATTCGTGTTACATGATAAAATCTAATGACATAACAGACTAAAAAACAGTTCATAGTTTGCACAAAGCGAAATTCATGCTAGCCAACAAACTTCCTATAAGATCATATACACTGCTGGCGGAATTAAAATTCTTTTATGTTAAACGAGTGTTCGCCTTCAGCGAGTTCATATTAAGGACTTTACTGTACTTTAATTTGAATGTGTAAAAGTGTTTTTAAGCTTCTGGAATCGGGTGAAAACTATTTGGAAATCACTAATTTACACATCTGAAGCGCATAAACTACTGAATCCGATAAAGTTTCATTATTGGTTAGAGTAGATTTAAGGGTGCCCCTTGTATAATTGCAAAGTTGTTTCATTTATCGCCAAGTTGTTATTCCATTTGATTCATTCATCACTGGTAGCTGAATGGTATGGAAACCTATTATGAATAATTGGTGCATGATTGCGGGGTGATTTGAATGATGGGAAAGGATTTGTAAGAGCTTGTAGTGTGTGTTGGTTAGGAAGTTCGTTGCTTGTTTTGTGGTTTAGACAGTAAAATGGATGAATGTGGTAAGATTAATTGAAGTTTCTGTATGATTGGGAACGAAATGGGAAAGAGCATTAATTGACTGGTGTGTAAATGAAGGTTTACTTAGTAGCCATTATAAGTGTCCTGTTTGTAAGAAGGAAATGTGTATGGTCTAACGTTGGAGGATATCGACACTAGAAAGGATATTTTTTACTCTTATCTTTGTGAATTTATGTGGTGATGCCAGTACACAGATTCTAGTTCATATAATTTTAAGAAGTTTTTGGATGCTGTTAAGGAATTTTGTTTGACTGACGACACGGAAAGTTCTAAATAAGATAAATGTATATTTTCTTTGTGTAGTGCTAAGATGAATTTCCTTTTTTATGTTATCCGATTGTTTGATTTAAAATGCAGTTTATTGAGATTACATATTTTTTGTTGGCTGCTCCTTTGACATTTTTAAGTTAAAATAGATCGATATGTACATGGACAAAGTGAAGGGTTTGCGCAATGCCAAAGTTGTGCAATTCTCCGACGTTTTTTGAAGTGAAAATAGGTTGATGTCTACATAGATGCCGAGTTTGTGCAATTCTTTGACTTGTTATTTTGCCTTTGAGTAGCGGCGATTTTTAGAAAGCCAAAATAACACGTGAAGGAACTGCACAAACTGGGTATCCATGTAGCACCAATTTTCATGTATAAAAAATACCTGTAAATATATTTTTACCCACGCATTTGTTTATTTTTTAATTATATTTTAACATTAAAGCTTGTTTTTATTAAACAGCAAGAATGAGTGCACTTTTTTAAAAGAGAAAAGAAATACAGTCAAAAGTCGTTAATTCGGACTCGTCTGGACTTCGGCGATTCCGGATTATAGATCATCAGTTTAAATCTGGTAAGATGGCATGCACAAATTATAAAATTAAAAATATGAAACCGTAATTTATGAAATAAAGAACAATTATGGGTACTTTTCCGTTTTGCCGGCACAGACAATAAAGTCGCCAATAATGGTACAACCGATGCCAAACGGAATATCCTCGCTGGTAACCTTTTACTCCTCATTTTCAAAACAAGTCACAGCCATTTCTTATCAGATTGAATTCTTTCAATACTGGCATACAATGCATGGAATTTTTACGATAGTCCAATTTTATGCCAAGGCCATTCGCGGGCGGAATTAAGTCAATTAGGATGCAACACACCTCGCCCGATGGCGAAAATATAGAAAAGTTCATTCATAAGAAGTCGGGTTAAGTAATTGTAATGACAATGCCACTAGTGAAGTAAAGTACTACGGTTTACATAATTCTGAGTAAGTCGTACAATTGAAATAATTCTTGCATTTAAACTTGCATTCTAAATTAAGATTTAACTTGAGTAATGTAGATAATTCTGAGAGAATTAGTTTTTGTAGCGTAGTTTGAGATAAGATCACTTGGGGCCAGGTAATATGAACCGGCGAATCAGGATGTGATCAGAAAGCATAGAAATTCTTAAAATTGTCTTTACACATTTGCCTTCTTATGACTTTTTACAAAATTTGAAACGACCTTAATGTTTAAACTTTAAAAAAAAAATTGAAAACAAATGCTAAATTTTTTTTGGTTACTGGTTGCGCCAATAAGCTGCTGGGATTGGCCGGAGGAAAAGACCCAATTATGATCTAAAGGGTATCAAAAAAAAAAAAAAAAGCTTAATATTTATTTGTTTACTTTATTAAACATTTCTTTCAATGTAAGTTGTTTAAGTTGCTTCGTTTTTTATGTGATAATACTTCTCTTTAATTCTATAAACAGACATAATTTCTTCTTCTTCAGTTACAAAGTTCCGCTGTTCAAGTCCTATAATTGCTGTGTGTCGAGAATACCGACTAATTTGTCAATCGAAATTTTTTCGTTTTCAATAACCTCTGTGTCACTTTCTTCGCTATCGGAAGCGAATTATAATGACGAGGAATTTGATTTAAATCATATCAAAGACGGAGTACATCGAGATGAAATACTACATTTAGTAAGGAATTATAAGCCAAATAAAATAAAAACATCTGCCCTGAAGATAAGGATAGTGCTGACAGATCAACTTCCAATTCATTGCGTGCTGCGGCGTTTCCCCTCCCCCCGCCGCAGAGCAGCATGAAAATTGATAAACAGATTTCGGAATGGTTAGATAAACAAAGGATATGCCTTTATCCATTTTTTGCAGCAATTCCACTTTTTGTTTAATGGACTTCGAAACATACTTTCGCTTTGTAGATCCTTTACATATTAGTAAATATATCGGAAATTCTATTTGACATAATCGAAAGTTCAAGCTTACTTTTATAAAATTGCTCTAACAGTCTGCAAAAAATAATAAGCCGGATCCAATTCGAAGATTAAGGAACAACGCAATCTGCAACATTAACTGAAATAGATAATTAGATAATTTTAGCTTATACCGTCCGTTATACATTAAACGCGCATGCGTAAACGTATTATGCGCATGCGCACATGCATATTCGCAGCCGTAAAGGTCTTATGCACATGCGTCAACGCGACGCATGCGCAGAAAGTTTGTAGCTTTGAGGTCCGGATTATAGATCATTCCGGATTATGGGTGTCCGAATTAACGACTTTTGACTGTATTTGTATGATTTTTCCGGTTATTTTGCACTTTAATGAAGTCAATTGCTAAGAATTCAGAATCTTAGCAAAAACCTCCTTAGTTAATATACTATGCAAACAATAAAATTTAATTTGTATTCCTCACACAAAATTATACTTTCACTTTTATATATATTTATATGTAATATAGATACAAGTTTATACTTTATATGTATAATATAGATACAAGTTAACATTAATAAATATAAGAATATTAATTTGGAAATTTTAATGGGCTCACATGCTTTAATAGTGCAAGAAAACTAGCTAAAATAAATAAAAAATACCAGGTGTGGATTTACAAAGTAGAATATGAAACACAGAACAAATTCAGAAATCCATGAGTCTAATATTCAGAATGATTTAAATTTTTAAATTGGAACCTCCAGATCACCAGCAATGTTTTTCTTCGAACCTTTTTTTTTTTTTTTTTTTTTTTTTTTTTTTTTTTTTTATGCATGGGCATTTTATATTTTTTAGTAATAAAACACGAGGAACACTGATTTTTAATTTTACTCTGGCATTCAATAAAATACCTTCAGAGTGAAGAAAAAATCATTCACTATGGTACTGTTCTGTTATCAGGACTGAAGTCAATGCCAAATGTTTTGCTACACTGGCCAAGAGATTGATTCATATGAAGTCCCCGTTTACCTTTAAATTTGTCACAAAATACTTACTCATAGAAATGAAGTTTATAAAAATTATAGAGAGAATTTTAAAATGTTCTTTAATTTAAATTAATTGAACCGTATAAAAAAGTTTACTTAGTAAATTCTGTGTTTATTCTGTTAAGCCTGTGTAAAAAAGTTAAAATAGATTTAAAACGATGCATGTCTTGAATTTTTTCTCTAATGTAGAAATTATCCAAATATTTTTTTACTATTCCAGAGAGCAATCTTTCTGTCTTAAAAAGGACTGTGGGTAGAGTAGACATTAAGGTACCCTTGTATTATGGCGAAGTTGTTGTTTGATTTATCGCTAAGTTGTTTCATTTATGGTAGCTTGAGTAGTTGAATGTGAAGGAAACCCTAATCCCTGTGACGTAATCGGGTCCCCTAATCCCTTACCCTGTGACGTAATCGGGTGCATGATTCTGGGAAATTTTGAATCATGGGATGTTTTTGTAAGCGTTTTTGTGGTGTGTTTTAAAACCGTTTAGATGGATTTGAATGGGTTTGTAGGAAGAAAGGCTCAGATGGTCACTGTGTGAAGCGTTCGATCAGAAAGAGTACCTGGTTTGTAAAAAGTCATTTGAGTATGATTGATATTTTGATTTTTACGTGGCTCTGGGTGTACAAAGCAACTCGAAAATCATGGTAAGTGAATATTTGCTTTTGGTAGTGCTTAAATGTATAACATGTTTTTCCTTTTTTATATTATTTTATTGTTTGGTTTAAAATGTATTTTATTGAGATTATGTTTTTTTTGTTAGCCTATATTGTAGACTTTGGTGCTCCTTTGACTTTTTAAGTGAAAATATATTGATGTGTGCATGGACAAAGTAAAGGGAGTGCGCAATGCAAGTTTGTGCAGTTCTGGGATTTTTTTAAGTGAAAATAGGTCGACATGTACATGGATAAAGTCAAAGGAGTGCGCAATGCCATTTTTGTGCACTTCGGAGGTGGTGTTTTTTTTTTTTTTTTTTTTTTTTTTTTTTTTTTTTAAGTGAAAATAAGTTGATGTGTACATGAATACCGAGTTTGTGCAATTGTTTGTCTTGTTATTTTGGCTTTGCGAAGTGGCGATTTTTGGCGCAAAAGCAAGCCAATATAATGAGTCAATGAATTGCACAAAATCGGTATCCATGTACCGCCAAAAATAGCCAAGTTTCGCAAAGGGGTACCCTAAACTATACTTTTACCAAAACTGTTTTAGAAATATGATATCAGAAGAAAAATTATATAGCATGGCTGTAATATATATGGAAGAAGAAGAAGTGTTGAGGAACATCTAGACTTTGAAAATAATATATGAATTTGCTCACAAAGTCAAGAAAAAAGTTTATTAAACCTGTTACTTAATATTCATCTAATTTAATAATCAATTATTTTAATTTTAATGTATTCTAAAAAAATGTTTTAACAGTTTGATATTTTTTGATTGTTTGATATTTTAACAGTTTGATTTTTTTATAAGAAATATTTTAATTTCTTCATATAATTTTTATGTATTTTAGTTCTGATATGTGGAGGAAATAATATAAGAAGACTTTGAAATAAAAATATTAAATAGTAATTTTCATTAAAATATGAATTACATTAAGTAATTATGTGCATTTAATTATTTATTACACTTCAGCACTAATTGCCTTTCTAGCATATAGGCGCACAAATCAAAAATAGTTTTAAAAAGGCCCCAAATTTTACTGCCAGGGGCTCCCAATATGGCTTAACCCCCCCTCCCCCCAAAGTCAATGGAATTTCACAATCAGAAAATACAGTAGACTTACAAAATACATAAGATTTTTTATGTCTGAAATGCTTTTTCCCCCTGTTAAATCTTGCTTTGATATTTAAGTTGGTTACAATATAACTGCTTTTAGGCCACAAATTTCTTAAATTCATTTGGCTATTATACAATGAATTGGATACTTTCAACACTGAGCTCTCTCATATTTTAATACACCCAGCATCGGAGCTTGTAGATGTTCTTAAGGTAACTAAACACAATTGCAGTTATTACTTCTTTGTAATAACTCTCAATTAACAGGGGCAGCTAGCTGGACCTTGTATAAAAAAAAGGGGACTGTTCTATTATCAGGACCAGATTCAGAAATGTATGAATGTATGTGCAAGTATACGTCTGCATATAAGTGTATATGTATACACATTTGTGTTTACATACATGCACACATATATCCATTCATATAGTTCTGAATACGGTATAACCAAAGAAAATTTAATTTATTATAAAAAAAGGACTGTTCTGTTATCAGGACCAGATTCAGAAATGTATGAATGTATACGTCTGCACATAAGTGTATATGTATACACATTCGTGTTTACATACATGCACACATATATCCATTCATATATTTCTGAATCCGGTATAACCAAAGAAAATTTAATTTATTGTGAAATAATGGAAAAATTAGTGTAACAAACAATTTAAAATAAAACTATTTACAGAAAATACAAAAAGGAAAATAAAAATGCTTGGAACAAAAACAGTAAGAGCAAATACTGTCACAGTATTTGGAAATTGCTTTTACCCCAATAAAATATATAACTTAATTGCACATAATCAAGAATATATACATTATTAAACGTCTGCTAGATAAGATCACCAATCTGCAAAAAAGAAAACTCTGCCCCTCCAAAAAAACGTTTTGACAGATTTTTTTTTTTTTTTCTTTGGAGGAGGGGACAGTTCAAGTTTATTTTTTATTGCATATATTATTTTACATATGTTTCTTCACTTTGAATGATGTTTATTCTTTCATTACTGACAACATGTTCTTATTCTTGAATATTAATTTATATAATGAAACAAACTTAATTTCCAGATCAAACTGCTCGAAAATGCAATTATTTTGAAAGCAATTACATTATATGCTATTCCTCATGCCTGTTTTTTAACAAGCACTGGATTAACTGTTAATTAATTGTTGACACAGTCTCCAGTATCATTCCAGTTAATAAAACGTTCAATGTATGTATTTAATACAGTATTTTACAAACATTTAGGCCTTTTCTGTTCATATTTACAACTAACCACCTATATGATACAACTGAACAAATTCTAATCACTTGATGGTTTTAAATTATTATAAAATTTAGATTTTTTTTTTTTTTTTTTTTCAAAAACAGAAAAAATTCCATAAAAGTGAAAAAAATATATGAAATACTGTCACATCCTAATATGACAATAACTTTGTTTTCCTGGACAAAAACTTTTTTTTTTATTTAAGACTGTATAAATATGAAATTTGCCAACAGAAAAAAAAAAAAAAAAAAAAAAAAAAAAAAAAGATTTGATCATAATTTTTCTTAACACAAGCATCTCAATGTTTAACCAAAACCTAAATAACAAAAACTAGATCACAATTTTTTTCTTTTGCCCTAAAGAAAACAATATTAAAAAAAATTTTTGCTACTGTTGATTAATGCTGAATTTCTCAACAGTCATGTATTTATGTGAAACTAAATACCATCTTAATATTTTAACGAGGATAAAACCAACCATAGGCTAAATGAATTCAAGTAAACAATACCGTAAACAACTTTCACCCAGGCTTTGCATTCTGACCATGAATTGGCAACAGAATGTGAAGTTCTCTACGTTTTCCTACATATAACATAAAAACTAAGGAGTATCTCTTATAATACCTATATCTCAGCGGTTCTCAACCTTTTGACTAATGTGTACCATCTAACCAAAAATTGAAAACCTTTAGTACCACCATTACAAAACACTAATACCACCACCACTCCTGAACAAGGCTCAGATCGCATAAATTTACGAGTGTTAGAGAAAAAAACTCAATCAGGATGTTGCGGTTTTAATTTTTGACTTTAATAGTTAAAAATACTTTGATTCTCTGCGTACCACCGGTTGAGAACCCCTGACCTAAACCATTAACTACTTACAGACTAAATAAGCAATCCACATTGTGTACAAAACTGCATAACTTCTTAAGCTTTATTATCATATTTAGCAGATTTCTCATAGGAACTAAATAGATTGTTCTCCGAAATTTACTAAAAATTTATTATAATTCTTACATGCATATAACGTGTTTACCTTATTAACAGGCGCACTGAATACTCCTACCACCCGAACAGCATAATTTGGTGGTAATCTAGATTTTACTTGCTTGACTAACGCATTTGTTTTCTGTGAAGGATTTGTGGGCATCCCAAGTTGTGGTCCACTTAGGGGACCACCAACATTCGAATTGCTTCTTCTGCTCCAGAAATGTTCTCCACACACCTTTATTTCTTTAAACTTTGAAGGATTCTTAATTTCCTTTAAGCAAAATGCCTGCATCCATAAAATTCTTGCATTTCTATCCTCAGGTAACGGATATAAACCCACATCTGTAACTAAACGATTATAATTCACACACGATGGAATAGCGCAAGATTCCATTTTAAAATAAAGTACAATTTTCTCTTTAATTCACTTAGTCATTTCTTTACGTTTTCACTTTATTAAATAAATAATAATGTGTCGATTTTTCTCAAGCCCTTTATAATTTGCACCAAAAAAATCATTTACTCAAACAAGAAGAAATTATGACATATAAGCAAGAATTTAAACACGCAAAAATGATGTTCTGACATCATTGCAGGAAAAGTTCCAATCGAAAGAATAACCTCGAACAAAAAAGTATATGAAATGTTTACAGAAACATTAAACGTTAAAGCGCTCGAAGTAGGAAGTCTCTCGACGCATTAATGACTTTAACTTTGATCAGCAAATGAATATTAGCACAACCCAAAATTTTAAACTTCCTAAAAAATAAAAACGAAATAACTTAAAATAATTCTAGATTGCGATTGACATTGATAATAAAGAAAATTTTAGATTCATAAAATATTGCGAATATACAACAAGGCATTATCAGCTCTTTTACATTGCGTTTATGTCAAAGTAAAAAAAAAAAAAAAAAAAGATAAATCGTAAATAAAATTTTTAAGATATATAAATATTAGTATTATTTATATCAAAGAGCACAAAGCGGAATAGCAATATCAATGACTTTCAATTATTATGAGAATTAAAGATGCAAGAATTCCAAACAAAACAAAACAAATACTAATAAATAGACATAAAGTTTACAATATATTGTTCTACAGGTGTCAAATATTTCAAAATACAATTGCAAATTTCCTAAATATTGCTGAATGACAAATATAGCTTTTACAATAAATAATAAGTAGTGATCTTGGCCTTCAGTTGTCAAAAATATATGCCTGCAAACCACAGAAAAGTGATTGGCAACGATGTATGGTTTGTTTTTGTAGAGAGGAGAAATTGATGTTGTAGAAGTAAACTTCTGATCTCTGCAATTATTCTTTACGTAATCCAAAGATGATGAAAAGCTGTGCGGTACCGTCTTGTCCTAATGACTCTTTACGCCATCCAGAATTAAGCTTTTACAGTTTCCCGAGAGATGCTAATGCTCGGGGTGAATGGCTTGAACAAATAGGACTAAAGCGTAGTGATTGTAATAACAACCTGAAAATCTGCGAAGTACATTTTAAACCAAAAGATTTTTGTGCTGGGAAGAGACAATTAAAAACTCACGCTCTTCCTGTTTTGAAATTAGGAGTAGGTAAAACTGAACCAGTCAACAGTGATGATGAATTTATGCAGTGTAATTCTGATAGTGATCCAGAAATAGTGGAAGTAAAGAAAATCAGTGCTGCTGCTGTTGTTGATCCAGCTACCAAAAACAAAGAAAAGCCTGTTGAGAAGGTTACTATAAAGCAAGAGCCTGTAGATTGGGTTAGTCAATTGTAATTTGACAGTTTCTTAAAAAATATCAGTGTTTCTAAAATATTAGTTTTTTCATCTGCTCCGTAAATTTTAAAATCTTCATAAAAATTTAATTTAATTGAAAAAAATAAAGGTAAAAGTATAGTTTAGGGTACCCCTTGGCGATGTTTGGCGGTACATGAATACCGATTTTGTGCAATTCTTTGACTCGTTATTTTGGCTTACGAAATCCATGTACATGTTGACCTATTTTCACTTTAAAAAAAATCCCCAAATACAAAAATGACATTGCACACTCTTTTAAGGTAAAATCCTAGTATACAGTGCAGCCTTGGCGCGATTTTGAAAATTATCGCCAACACCAAAAATGACCCAAAGAACGTCTATGTATATACTATACATACTATATACTATGTATAACTATATATATTCTCTGAATGACCCATTTACTACTCATCGTATATGTTTCGTTTTTACTGCTCATCATAAAGTCGCCAAAAGAAGCCAAATCCCGTATGCACCGGATACTAGGATTAAACCCTCTTTTAACTTTAGCCATGTACACGTTGACTTATTTTCACTTAAAAAAAATCCCAGAATTGCACAAACTTGCATTGCGCACTTTCTTTACTTTGTCCATGTACACATCAATATATTTTCACTTAAAAAGTCAAAAGGAGCACCAAAGTCTACAATATAAGCAAACAAAAAATACATAATCTCAAAAAATACATTTTAAACCAAACAATAAAATAACATAAAAAAGGAAAAACATGTTATATATTTAAGCACTACCAAAAGCAAATATTCACTTACCATGATTTTCAAATTCGCTTCGTACGTCCAGAGCCACGTAAAAATCAAAATGGAAGCACTTCCGCTGAGAACCCTGTAAATGTAAACATCGCCAACTTTGGCGATAATAGTTCAAACCTGGTAACCCAACGGATTTGTCCTATTTGCTAGTTCGAAACCACTCCTCTTGCGTTTATTTTCTTGAATTATCACTGTCGTTTTTTCCATTTGCAGATTTATATTATTCTTCTCTTGTTTATTATTATTTTTCTGAATTTTTTAACAACGAATAGATAGAAATATTTTCGTAGATAGATGCTGGTTCTCGGTTCGGGATGAAAGGAGGGGTGAATGCTAATTTGTAACACGGCTGTTCAAGTTGTGTTCTTAATTATTAACAGCTCTAAGAACCATGAGGTTTTCAATGTCTAAAATTTCTTTTTGTAGAATGCAAAAATGTGCATGTGCATTTAAAATATTAATGCTTTTATTTTTATTATTGGTTATTGTCATCTAAAATTATGGTACAACTCTAATATATGCCCTAATTTCACCAAATGTGGCGATATGTGTTCTGCGCTGGTTTTTGGCATGATTGCGTGTTCTATGGCAACCCTGTAGACGTTGAAAAATCTTTTGCTGGAGCTCGTTGGTTCGCCTCTGTGTCTGAGAAAGATCCCCGGAGGGAAAGATAAAATGGTAGTTGTTGAATTGAAGTTCGGCAAAAGGAAATATGATTGTGGCTATCCTGTTGAGGGGAGGGGTAGTGGGTATTTGGAACTGTGGAAAGAGGGTCTGGGAGATTATTTTTAATGGCAGTGCATGATAGAAGTAGGGATTTGTGATTTTATTTATTTGTGAACCATAGTATAAATTTTCTGGATAGTGTGTCTGGCTGTCATGTAAATACGATAGTGATACGTTGCGGCATGTTAAAGGCGGTATGAAATTTATATTTCTGCTATTCGAAAACGCATTAATTCATGGTAAGTGCATTTTATTTTATCCTTGTTCTTATTTTGTAGAATGTTATGTTCATTGGTTCTTTAGTATGAATTTCTGTCGTTATTGTTGTTTTTTTAAATTGTTTGAAATTTATTTTAGTTTATTTTGTTGTTTAGTGTCTAGACTGTACAATTAGTAGATGTTTTTTAAAGTTGAAACAGAATGCTGTGTACATGGTATTATTTGAAATTTATAGTTGTTATGTTATTTTATTAAAGCGAGGAGTGCGTAGATCGTAGATTCGTTCGTTGCCTACATTGTGCAATTCATAGATGTTTTTTTAAGTTAAAACATGTCGCTGTGTACATGGATTCTTGTCAAATATTTTGGTTAGAAACTTTACATTTTTGCTATCTAAATTTTTTGTTTTTGTTTCGGATTTTTAGCTAAATTGTGTGTTCAAAACGTAGTTTTTGCATGTGCGAAAACCGCGTTTTTGGAGACATTTTAGGCTAAAAGTTCAAAATGTAGTCAAAAAATTTAGATAGTAATATGGCAGCATGAAGTTTCTCGCCAAAAATATTTGGCGAGAAATTAGGCGACTTAAGGGCGCATATCAGAGTAGTTCCAAAATTATGAGAATAAATCAATTTTTATGGCGTAAAATTTTAGCAAGATAATATATTGTTAATGCTTTTCTAACAATAACCTTTCAGAGGATGGCAGGTGTGACATAAATAGATGATTAAATTGAAATAAAAAAATATTATTGATTATCTAAGATGACAGAATAGTTTGATGCATCACCATGGTCATCAAAATTACATATTCCTTACACCAGCAAACCACTGCTGGTGTAAGGAATATATTGTTTTCTGTGTTAACTGGAATTTAAGACGATTTTTTTTTCGTATATCACGTTTAACCGGTAAATTTCAGTATATTAATACTAATTTAGGTTTAATCCTAGTATCCGGTGCACACGGGATTTGGCTGCTTTTGGCGACGTTATGATGAGCAGTAAAAACGGGACATGAACGATGAGTAGTAAACGGGTCATTCAAAGAATATATATAGTTATATATAGTATATATTATGTATTTGGCTCTAGTGTAGAATTGGGTGCCCCTTTGATTAGCTACAATTTTTTGTAAAATTTTGGCGATGAAATCGTATTTCTGGTTACCATGATAGTGTAACTTTGCTTTAGCATCCTGATTTTTTTAAAATAAAAATAGATTGATGTGTACATGGACAAATTTAAACAGTGCGCAATGCCTAGTTTGTGCAATTCTGGGATGTTTTTTTAAGTGAAAACAGATCGATGTGTACATGGACACACAGTTTATGCAATTCTTTGACTTTTTATTTTGGTTTTGTGTAGCGGCCATCTTGAAATTGTGTCTTCCTGACGCCGATCTTGCCGTCAAAAAAGAATCTCCAAAAAACAAGGGGCACCCAATTGTAAACTTTTACCATGTATTTACACACATAGTGTATAGTATATAGACGTTCTTTGGATCATTTTTGGTGTTGGCGATAATTTTAAAAATCGCGCCAAGGCTGCACCGTATACTAGGATTTTACCCTAATTTATATTTTTTAAATGAATTTTTATTTCCGTTATAAATGCTTATATATTGTCTTATGCTTAATAATATATTCTTTTCTGTGCTAACTTGAATTTAATAGAAATTTTATTTTCGTATATCACGCTTAACTGGTTAGTTTTACATCTAGATGCTTATTATCTGTGAATTTTTACTACCATATGCTTAATATATTGTTTTATCTGCTAACTTGAATTTACATGCACTAAAAATCACGTTTACGGCTTGGCTCATCACACTGACATTCATTATATCGTTAGCTTGGCGAGTAAAAATGTAACGCCGCCAACAGGTACTCTGCGGATGAAAACCCATCAAAATATCAATCATACTCAAATGACTTTTTTCAAACCAGGTACTCTTTCTGATCGAATGCTATACATAGTGACCATCTGAACCTTTTTTCTACAAACGCATTCAAATCCATCTAAACGGTTTTAACACACAACACAAAAATGCTTACAAAACATCCCATGATTCAAAATTTCCCAGAATCAGGCACCCGATTACGTCACAATAGGGTTTCCTTAACATTCAACTGCTCAGGCTACCATAAATGAAACAACTTGGCGGTAAATCAAACAACAACTTCGGCATAATACAAGGGGTACCTTAAAGTCTACTCTACCCAAAATAAAATATGAATTTAGTTAATAGTTTAAACTGTGGTGGGAATGGTCTATTCCACTGTAGTAATTTTAAGAAACCTGTGGGCAGTGTGTAAGATATGAACAATAAATACTTTCAGCTTCAAATCAATTAATGAAGCTTTGTACCACTCGATGTGGCCGTGCCGACCCAGTTATCAGATATATAGCTACAGTGAAGTGTTTCAAGTACTGATTTAACATGCATAGTGGTAATTTTCCCATGAAAAAAATTCTCTTATGAAAATATTTAAGTTTATCTGAAGCAAAGAGTTATCAAGGGGCACCTGACTGTAAACTTTCATGTAGTTAATTTAACAATTCTGACATAAACTTTCATCTACGAGTTATTTCAACTAAAACAAGTCTTAAAACATTCTTATGGTCTTAAAATAATTATCTGCTGTTGGGAGAAAACTAACCTTCTCACATGCAGACTTCAATAATTGCTTGTAATAAATATTGAAATTTATCACTGGCAGAAATTATAGCATCTTGGTCAACTTTTACAGACTGATTAAAAAAAATAGCTAATCTTTAATTTCACTGTCAAATTTTTGAAGTTTGGGCAATTTAAATGTACATTTGCATAAATTCTCATTAGCAGATTTATTCAAAATCAAATTTGAAGTGATTACAATCTGAAGACTCCCAAGAAAGCTTTTATTTTTATTTTTATTCCAATGTCCTTGTCTCTGTAATCATCAGGAGCATCAAACTTTGCTTCATTTTCATTTTTGGTCAGTGTGTTGAGAAAACATTATACTATATGTGTTTTCCAAATTTTTAGCTTCTGAAACAAAAAACATTAAGCTCTTCGATTGTAATTCAGAAGAGTCTACTTTTCTTTATAATTTCTTCTAATGCATTGAAAGGTTTCATGAATGCAGCTCTGTGAATCTTCTTTTCAATTTTAATATCCTCTTTTCCTTTCATTTCTATACTTAAGAATTCTAAACAGATGTCTCTTATATTCTGTTCGAGAGCACCAGAAAATATTCGTTTGTGTGTC